GGCCTCACCATGCTGTTAATGAGAGCAGCCATCCTCTGTACAGTGTTTTGTGAGTTTGAATATTTTCTGGAAGCTGGTGGGAGAGATTTGAGTACCTAGCCAGGCCATGGTGGCACATGCCTTTCATCCCAGCATTCAGGAGGTAGAGGCAAGTGGATCTCTGAGTTCGAGGACAGCCTGGTCTGCAGAGTGAGTTCCAGGAAAACCCATTGTTACACAGAGAAACCCTGGCTTCAAAAACAAAAACAAAACAACAATGTAAACAAAATGAATAGTTGAGGTTGCATTTTGTGCAGTATTTCCATGGTGATGACTGTCCTGTGGAGATAGACTCAGCATCAGTGAATGCAGGCAGCCGTCCACTTTAAAGTTCACCGTCAGCTTCCCCAAGAGTCTTAGCAGGGACTCATTGCCACAGGTGCATTATTGTGCAGGGTGGCTGTGGGTGGTTATCATTTCCTTTTTTCTTGTTTTTTCCTGATGTGTGTATATTTCTGCTCTATCTCTCTGTGTATCTTCCCGAAGAGTGCAACATCTACTCCAGAGACAGTGTTCCTGTCCTTCAGTGATCCTAGAGACCCCTCCTCAGTTTTTGTTCGTTTTAGTATCACTGGGACTCTACCCCCAGAGCCCTGCACATGCCAGGCAAGTGCTGCACCCTGAGCTGCAGCCCAGCTCTTAAGTCTTCTTACCTGTAAACTGGGGTGATTGAGTCTGTGAGTGTGGAGGGGCTTCTCCATGAACTGTAATGGTGCTGTGTGGTCAGTGCTGATGCAGGAACCGTTTTTATCTGGGGTGTAATTCAGCTAGCGTGTGGGAGGCTCAGGGATAAGTGTCTCACACTAATGATTGTCATAGTGAAGAGTGGAGAAAATAAAAGTTCTTTGTAATACGTTGCCTTCCGCAGGAAGCTTGGGCTTGTATTTGTATAGCGTGAGCTTAGGGAATGTGTGGGAGCAATCATCAGAGAAGAACAAACACAAAGAAAGCAGCACAAGCAGCAGTGCGGTGTGGAAGCTGTTCCCAAATGAAGGTAGCAGTGTGAAGGAGCTGTGGATTGGTGCTGGAGCTGCTGGTGCCTCTAGACACGGGTGTTCAGTGCTCAGGACCTGATGGAGTCCGCATCTAACAGAGGGTTTCCTTGCTCTGGCAGGCTGGCCGGCTGTTCTACACACACTTATTTGAAGTCGAGGGAAGGGCTTCTGTTTCCTCCAGTGAGTGATGTAATGCATGTGTGGAACTGACGGTGGATGGCTGGGAACCACTTTAAGACATTTGCGTGAATTTTACATGTTCAGTACATTGTTTAATTTTGTCCTTTGATTTTATGTGTGAATAACATTTGTGAAGATCCTAACCTCCCTTGCACACAGTTACAGTTAAATTTGAAAAGGCCGGTGTCACATTCCCTGTCCATTCAGGTTGGAGAGGTAAATTGAGCCAAGCCACCAGCCTGTGGTAGTGTGCAGTGTTGGGAACGTTCTCCATCTTTGTTACGCCCCTATTCACAGGGACATACTGTTGCAATCAGAATGTGAGATTTTCCAGCCTGCTCTTCAGAGAGCCACTGTTTCCTGCTGTGCTGTGTGCAGTACCTGCATCTCCGTCCTGCTCACCTACACCCACACACCCTCTCCTGATGCATGCCATCTGGGCTTAACTTGTTTGTTGCTTTGTGATGGAGACAAAGGAAGCTTTGGGTGTGACAGTTCTGTGATGCAGGAGACCTTCAGAGTTCTTGTATGACCCTAGGTGGTAATGGTACTTCTCACTTCTGTCATTGTATGGATTTAACTAGCCAGGCCTCCCAGGGACAGTGCTGGGGTCCTGTGCAGTGTTTGTGAATTTAGCCCAAGGTAAGAACAGTGCAGTTGGTTACTTTTAGGGACAGCATAATCTATGTCAGTGGTTCTCAACCGTCCTAATGCTGCAGCCCTTTGATACAGTTCCTCATGTTGTGGTGACCCCCAGCCATAAACTTATTTTTGTTGCTGCTTCATAACTGTAATTTTGCTACTGTTATGAATTGTAATGTAAATATCTGGCATGCAGGATATCTCATATATGACCCCCGTGAAAGGGTCATTCAACCCCTCCAAAGATTCCCACTGACAGGTTGAGAACTGCGGGTCTGTGCTCTGTTAGCTCACATCTAACTTGAAATTGTGACAGGAGTCCCCACTGAGCTCCATGACTCTTCCTTGTTCCCTGTTGGGATTCTATGTCAGGTGACTCTTCTTTTTAGAGATCTGCTCCTGGATTATAGATTGGTGCAGAATCACTCTCTGGTTTGGCAGATAAATAAAATGCTCCCCCTAGACTGTAGAAATGAGATTTGGTTGTCTGACTAGTTCTATGTTCATCAGTGGAAGACTTAGGAGTTGATCTCAGTTGGGGCTCATGTCTTCTCTCTAGTTGGCCAGACGTGGCGCCATGTGCATTTCCCTTCTCTTTCTGCTTTAATGCATTTAAATGCATGACCATCGCATCTGCATTCTGATTTCGTGTGAAACAAGGTCATACATTACCAGTGATTTTAGTGGGGAAAGTCCTATTTCAGAACCCTCTGTGTTTGATGTTAGTCTGAGTTAGTTCCTCTTTCCTGGGGACCATTTCTGTGCTCTAAATACTCTTGTTATGGGAATCATTGTTTTTCTTTTTCAAAAAATGTCATGTCAAGGAAACATGTTAATTGTGAAAGAAAATTTACGGATACAGAACACAGTCTAAGAAGTTGCGTGTTAGCTGGAGGTGTTTCCATGTGTATTCTTTCTAAAATAAAGGAACTCTGGGCCTGTTGTTGTTCATGGTGCTACTGGTGAAGAAATGTTCACTCTTTAAACATGGAAATATACAAAACTCACATGTGTTCTGTTGGGATCCCCTCTCCCCTTAAAGAAGCGTGAACTCCGTCTCCTGCAGGAAGGCTGGAATCCAGGCTCTGATAACCGTGACAGACATGTGGAGCTCACTCTCATTCTACCGTGACATTCATACCTTCTGCAGTCTGAATGGACCTGTTGTGATTATTTTCCTTCTGTTCTGTAGGAAGCATCAATCCCTGTATGCATTTTAAGTTGAAAAACTAAAAACATCCTGCAGGCCAGTGTAGGGCCTGGTGAGGCCCCTGAGCAGTGGCTCTGGACGGACATGAAGAGGGAAGACAGTTAAACACACTCTCTGGTTCTTGAGACAGTCTCACGGTAGCCGAGGCTGACCTGGGACTGAAGTGGTCCTTTGCCTCAGTGTCCTGAGTGCTGGGATTACAGGTGTGTCATCGTGCCCAGCCCTGGACAGCTCTGAGCTCAAATTTGGCCAATCTGCTATTTGCTATGAAGGCATGTCTAAGGAATGAGGACTCAGGCTCTGTATGGGACTTTGAGCCAGGTGAGCTCCCTCTGGAAGCAGAAGACAGCTTAGTTGATGCTGTGAGTCACATTTAACACCACACTGGTCCTAGATTGATTTCTAGTGGTGGACAGGACATGTCTGCTTTGACTCTTGAGCACAGAAGCTGCTACCTCAGCAGAGGTCAGAAGCTGAACCCTTCCCCCTATAGACAAAGACTGAAAACATGCTGAGCTTCCACCAAGAAGACTTTATCTGAAGATCCTGAACCAGCAAGGCTCGTCCTCCTGTTAGGTGGAGAAGGGTCAGAGTGACAGCAGTACGCGTGGTCTTGCTTGGGCCGGAGGGGTCTCCACTGTTCCCACTGCCACTGACGGAAACATTTATGGAGCTTACTCAAATTTTGGAGGGTTTTTTTGGGGGGGGGGTGTTAAACTTGAAAGACTTGGAGGATTAGGAATGCAGTCATAAAATATGGTCAACTTCAGGATTTGGCGGATATGAAGTAATGATGTAAATTTTAAATTTGTACTTGAGTTTTTTGTTGTTTTGATTTGCTTTTGGCAGTATCTTGTTACTGACATGATTTTCAGGAGGTAGGTAGGATTTTAATGTGATTTTATTTTCATTTTTTATGTTAGGTGTAATTATTGTGTGTTTTGACTTAGGAGAGAGCTGGAAATGATAGGACCAGCATTCTCTAGGGAACAGTAGGAGAATCAGGTTTATCCATTTGATTTTAGTCATTTTTAAATGTGTGTTTTACAGAATAATCTTAATTCAGAGCTGAAAAATGTTAGATGGATTTATTGAAGATGATTTAATGGTTAACTGTTTTGTTCGGGTTTGGAAGACAGAGAAATTATTCATCCTTCCAGGAAAATCTCCCTTTGATTTTCATACAGGAAAAAAGAATTAGACATATTACGGTACTGAAAATATTCTATAAAATCAAACCTTGAGTGGAATGCTTTGGTCTTCTTAGTTTTTTTTTTGGGGGGGGGATTATTGCCTGCAGAAGGAAGGGAAAGAAGGAAGTTGTTCCTGCTGAAGGGTTCTTTTCTCTCTAGCAGAGTGTGTGCAAGGGCAGCTGGAGTCCGGGAAGCTGTGTGCTGTTTGTGTAGGGTTCCTTTTTCTCATCAGCTGTGTATTATCCTAAGTTCCCTGTGACTACATTTACAGCAGGATTTTTACCGTCTCAGGTACCTGCTATTGCATCTAGGACTTAGGTGGCTGTAATGCTAGCCCGTCTCCCCATCACTGCAAGAATTTGAAGATCTGTTCTGCTTTGTTAAGGGAATCTAGTGTTCGCTTTCTCCCTCAGGGCACTTTAATGTCTTGATTCTTGTTTTGAGGTGCAACGGCAAGACAAGGTGTCTATAGCAAGACAAGCAACAGTTTTGTGACATGGTGGGCAGTTGCTCCTCGAGACCTGAGGCGACTGATGATCCTTTTGTTTTTAGCTCAGAATGACGGCTGCTATCACTATCCTCGGTGACAATAGTTTGTGCTTTGCTGCAGTTATTGAAGTGTATTATAAAAGTGTTTTATAACAAATGTTGTGCCATGTTTGCTCAATTGAAAGTTTCCTCACCGCTTGATGCGCCCCTCCTCTAATTCACTCTTTGTCTTTTGTCTTTGCTGCCTTGCAGGGTTGGTACAGTAGGCTCCACTAGACTTAGCTGCAGCTCAGAGTTTCTCCTCCAGCACCTGAGTAAATGCTGATGGTCTTGTGGACTAAGAGTGCGAGCTAAATTCTCAATCCCAATTGAGAAGCGGAGGAAATTTAAAACTGTCTCCTTCCAAGCTTACTACAACCACCACCATCAAGACAGCAAACAAAGGACAAAGACTTTGAACTGCTGTGTTGCTCTGTGTAGTCCCGTTCACGTGTGCTTTACAGACTTGGCTGGGTTACTAATAAGTAAATAAGAAATTGGACACTTCTTTCATTCGGACATTTTATTCACAAGTTACCAGAATGAGGGCTGTGCTGGAAACGGCAGACATTGCCATAGTGGCCCTGTATTTTGTCCTGGTCATGTGCATTGGTTTTTTTGCCATGTGGAAATCTAATAGAAGCACTGTGAGTGGATACTTCCTGGCCGGGCGCTCTATGACCTGGGTGGCAATTGGTGCCTCTCTGTTTGTGAGCAATATTGGGAGTGAGCACTTCATTGGGCTGGCAGGATCTGGAGCAGCGAGTGGATTTGCAGTAGGCGCATGGGAATTCAATGCCTTACTGCTCTTGCAACTTCTGGGATGGGTTTTCATCCCTATTTACATCCGGTCAGGGGTATACACTATGCCTGAATACTTGTCCAAGAGATTCGGTGGCCATAGGATTCAGGTCTATTTTGCTGCCTTGTCTCTCCTTCTGTATATCTTCACCAAGCTCTCAGTGGATCTGTATTCAGGTGCCCTCTTTATCCAGGAGTCCTTGGGTTGGAACCTTTATGTGTCTGTCATCCTGCTCATTGGCATGACCGCTCTGCTGACTGTCACCGGAGGCCTTGTTGCAGTGATCTACACAGACACCCTCCAGGCTCTGCTCATGATAATCGGGGCGCTCACACTTATGGTTATTAGCATGATGAAGATCGGAGGGTTTGAGGAAGTTAAGAGAAGGTACATGTTGGCCTCACCCAATGTTGCTTCCATTTTGTTGACACACAACCTTTCCAACACAAATTCATGTAACGTCCACCCTAAGGAGGATGCCCTAAAAATGCTGCGAGATCCAACAGATGAAGATGTTCCATGGCCTGGATTCATTCTTGGGCAGACCCCAGCCTCGGTATGGTACTGGTGTGCTGACCAAGTCATTGTGCAGAGGGTTCTAGCAGCCAAAAACATTGCTCATGCCAAAGGCTCTACTCTAATGGCTGGCTTCTTGAAGCTTCTACCAATGTTTATCATAGTTGTCCCAGGAATGATTTCTAGGATACTGTTTGTTGATGACATAGCTTGCATCAACCCAGAGCACTGCATGCAAGTGTGTGGAAGCAGAGCTGGGTGCTCCAATATTGCCTACCCACGCCTGGTGATGAAGTTGGTTCCTGTGGGCCTTCGGGGCTTGATGATGGCAGTGATGATTGCGGCTCTGATGAGCGACTTGGACTCCATCTTTAACAGTGCCAGTACCATATTCACCCTCGATGTGTACAAGCTTATCCGCAAGAGCGCGAGCTCCCGGGAACTAATGATAGTGGGCAGGATATTTGTGGCTTTTATGGTTGTCATCAGCATAGCATGGGTGCCAATTATTGTGGAGATGCAAGGAGGCCAGATGTACCTTTATATCCAGGAGGTGGCAGATTATCTGACCCCTCCAGTGGCAGCCCTCTTCCTTCTGGCAATTTTCTGGAAACGTTGCAACGAGCAAGGGGCTTTCTATGGTGGAATGGCAGGCTTTGTTCTTGGAGCTGTCCGTTTGATACTGGCTTTTACCTACCGTGCTCCTGAATGTGACCAACCTGATAACAGGCCAGGCTTCATCAAAGACATCCATTATATGTATGTGGCTACAGCATTGTTTTGGATCACAGGACTCATAACTGTAATTGTGAGTCTTCTCACACCGCCTCCCACCAAGGACCAGATTCGTACCACCACCTTTTGGTCAAAGAAGACCCTGGTAACAAAGGAGAGCTGCTGTCAGAAAGATGAGCCATACAAAATGCAAGAGAAGAGCTTTCTACGGAGCGGTGACAATAGTGAGGCTATCAACCACGTCATTCCCAACGGGAAGTCTGAAGACAGCATTAAGGAACTTCAGCCTGAAGATGTTAATCTGTTGGTGACCTGCAGAGAAGAGGGCAATCCAGTAGCTTCCATGGGTCATTCAGAGGCAGAAACACCAGTAGATGCTTATTCCAATGGGCAAGCAGCTCTCATGGGTGAGAAAGAGAGAGAGAAGGAAACAGAAAGCCGAAGCCGGTATTGGAAGTTCATAGACTGGTTTTGTGGCTTTAAGAGTAAAAGCCTTAGCAAGAGAAGTCTCAGAGACTTGATGGATGAGGAGGCCGTTTGTTCACAGATGTTAGAAGAGTCTCCGCAAGTAAAAGTCGTGTTAAATATTGGACTTTTTGCTGTGTGTTCGCTTGGAATTTTCATGTTTGTTTATTTCTCCTTATGAACTTAAGAACATGGTGAGGCACTTCAGAAAATACTGGTCTTTGAAAACAGAAATGTAACTGTTGCATCTCTCAGGCATTGTTTACGCTGAAGGTTTTAGCCAAATTTTACTTAGCAGAAAATCATTGATTTGCAGGACTATTTTCCTAGAGATGGATGAAATAAATCTTCAACTTAAATGAAACAAAACAGAATGAATTGTGCAAAAAAAGAAAATGTGGTTTTAGAGTTTTCCATACCAAAGTGAGGAAAGACCAATTCTTCTCACAGGTCACTTAGAGCAGAACTGTGTTAAAGTACCATGATAAAGTGTCTTGTCTGCATTGCCAAGTCTCATAGACCTTGTGCTGAAATAGATCTATCTGCTCATTTGTAAAGCTTTTGTCTCTAATCTCTGCTATGATTAAAAAATCGAATTCATAGAGATGTATGATTAGTTATGTCCTGAAAGTCTAATGTGTTGTATAGTGATCACTTCAGGACAACTTTGTTTGCCTGGCTGGTTTTGTTAGCATGAGTCCATGGATTCTGCTTGCCAAAAGAAAGGAAGAATGTTTTCCTGGAGTTTTTTTTGTACCCCTTGTGTGTGGAATGTTAGTGGCTTGGGCAGACTTTGTTTCAGTTCCCTCCCTCTGTTTTTCTTTCTTAAACTGAACCATACGGAATGACTACCAAGTCTGTATATATATTTTTTTTTAATCAGGGGGGAAGTAAGTATTGCTGATGATCCCCACATTTATTGATGAGATAAGGTGTTTTAAAATATAGTTTGAGAATTAACTACCATGCAGTGCTTGATAAACGTAATGCTAAGAGGATGCTGAATCATCTTCTGCCTGTGTCCTTGCTGCTGCTTCCTTGTTATTTTGTAGTATTCTTGTTAATCAGCCAGATGCCTTCCCCATGGTCCAGTTGTGAGAAACATTCAGTGTCGCCACAGAAGTGGGCACAGCTTTTGTGTGCTGAGTTGTGGCCCTTGACTAGCTGTGATACACTGACGTTGTGTTTAGAGGAAAAATCAAATCCTGACTCATACTGCATTCTCTATACGTTCTTTTCCTGGTTTTTGCCTTTCCTGAAGACGTGCTGCGAGTGTCCGCACACACACATGCGTAGTTACAAACTGGCCACCCGCCACAGAGCTCTCCTCACCCTTGCTGTTGATCAGCATAAGGTTTCTGTGGATGCCCAGCGTGGTCGTGCGCTCTTGTGGAGGACATCACAGGATTCTGTACAGACCTTTACCTTTATCCAATCACAGCATCCATGGGTGGCGGATCTTTGTTATAGGCTGTTTCTACCTAGTGAGGATGGCCCAGAAGGAGTTAGAGAACTCTTAAGGATGTCTGTAGTCCTTTGTCTTCAACACTGCCTGTTCTCCATGAGAGATGGAGAACACTAACTCTATACCTACTTTCTTCAAGCTAATAACTTTTTAAATTATATAACAAATTTATTAAGCCTTGTACTCAAGGACAATTATTACTTTTATAGATCATTTTGTAGATTTTGAATCAAAGCTCAATCCTGATAACTTTTTTTTTTTTTTGTAATGCATCAATTTGTTTGCAGATGATGGACTTGAGCCCAACACTGACTTTGGAGTCCATGGGTCCATGTAGTCTTCCTGTCTTCAGGAGGGTTTCTGATGGACTGAGCCTGTAGATGGAAAAGGTGACTCATGTACGAATAGTGTGTATTTCGGAAGAACTTAGAGTGCCTTGTACAATTTTTCTCTCAATTTCTATTTTGAGGTTTATAACTAGGGACCAAGTAGATAGGGCTTCCTTGTCTTGAGTGGAGGTCGAGGCTGTGATGCGCCCAAGGTCATGGGACCTCGTGGAAAGATGAGAAAGCAGTTCTCCAGATCTGGATTCAGAGTTTGCCCACATGTATTTGAATGAATGGTTTGTTCGTGGTTTGTGACGGTCTTCTCTTAAAGAACTTTCCGTTTGAGATAACCTTTTAGGCTATGAAAAACATTCATAGGCTCTTGGGTTGCCTGAATTTGTATCAAGTTGTAGGAGTTAGTATTTCCTTTGAACACATCCCTCTGCACTTAGCAAGAGTTAACATGTTGGCTGAGTCTTTCCCAATCCTCATATTTACAGCGTAAGAGAATAGGTGTTTATGTGGATTTCTCCCCTTTATTTAGTGTTGAGTCCTAATAATTTGGAATGTTAGATCTTCTTACCTCTTTTTGTTGTCTTATAGTAAGATACATACAATACATCACATGTCTGTGTAAATAGCAGTAGGTCAGGTTTAGAGTTCTATATCTATAAATAAGAAATACCTTAACATATTCATGAGGTGTTCATTCTTACCAGTGTGAGCATCGCTGTACTGACTCTGAAGTCCCTACCGCTTGTCTTCCTTACTGCCTCCCACGTGGATGCCGTGGTTGAAGAAGGGTGTGAAATGGGGAAGGCAGCTTCATTCCAGGAGACCAGGCTTTAGTCTATAGGTTGTTGGAATGACCTTGGAATGATAGATGGTTATTTCAGGCTAACAAAGTGTCCGTCCTTCCCATGGATATATGAGTCCTAAAAGATGGCGTGGATCTGTTCAAACATTTACACATGCATTTCTGTGCTTGTGCAAGCTGAGGTTCTGAATTGACCAAGATTCACACTGACTAAAATGTGGCTAAAAGTAAAAATGGAGGTGGGGCTGTTGGCCCACAAACGCAGGTGAGAAATAGTTATCCTTGGTGTGTGGGCTCAACTTCTCCATGTTTTGTCTTCCCAGGCAGTTTGTGTCTGGGTCTAGAGCAGAGGGCTTCTGACAGTGACCTGGAGAGGGATTGTTGACTCTGCTGTGGGACTTTAGGTCTCTTTCATTTCTGAAGACGGTGTCCTGCCGATCTCTCCTCCAGCTGTTCTTTCTAGGAAGTGATTGCTTTTGTTTTTAGAGGAGCATCAAGTAATAACTCGTGTCCTTGGCTCAGATCCAGTGGGTCTCATTTCCAGGGCTTCCTTTCCACTGGCTCCAAGGATCCCTCATTATCTTGCACACAGAGGGAGGCTGACCAGGGCTGTGTGTCCTTACCTCTTAGAGATGTCACCATAAGAGATTAGCAGATACCCTTCACTTTGTGAAACTCCCAGTTAAGAATGGATCTCTGAGTTAATTGGTTCTCTGAGCATGGAGTTAAAAGCCTTGTCTGGGGCTGGTTCTGAATCCTTAAATTCCTTCACTGGGAGTCTTTCTCTGTTGCAAGTGCATGATCTTCTCATCTCTTTGAATGTCATTTAGTGTAATCTATGGATGAGTCTTCTCCACCATATAAATCAGCCTTGTCATTAACCCATTGAGAGATTAGATCTTGCATCTTCTCATCTGACTGGTACTATAGTACTGAGATTGCCTCATCCCCTCATATCACACCTTCATGGGAGGTACGATTGGAAGGAGACCACATAGGTGTCACCCTTCCCTAGGTGTGCATGAGACGGCTCATTCCTGTTGAACCGTGTGTCTGCACGGCCTGTTGGTGCACAGTTTCTAAGACGTGATGAAAGTGCCAGTGTTTCAGGGTTTTTAAAGTCAGGAAGCAGTAGTGAGTTCTCGCAGGAGCCCCTTTGAGATGATGGGGTCATGTAATGCAGAAAGGCTGGGTTTTGCCATTGAGGTGGTAAAGTTGGAAATTAGCTGGTACAGAGAGAAACACTTGGTCTGTTATGTCTGAGGCTGGTGCAGAAATGATGACTCGGGACCAAGACCCTTCTCGTGAAGATCACCTGTCACACTGTCTTGAACACCGTAGCTGCTCCGCTCGTGAGCTGAGGTTCTGTGTAAGAGAATTGTTAGTGCCAAGTCCCACACTTAGTCATGTGTTTTTCATTTAAAGTTCTCACTACTGACTGATCTTTTAACAATGTTGTGAAATCGATGCCATTTATGCTTCTGTCTACACTCCTTTATTACAGGCAGGGTTCAGTTTGCGTGTGAGCCACCCCTTGCCCTAGCAACCAATGGCTGTTGCCCTGGAGCCTTTGCTGAGAAATGAAGGAAAAGACGTAGTGTGTGTCATGACTCATCTCATGCACTTTACTCTTTGGAGGAGCATGTATCTGCAGGCTCTGTGGATGGCTTGATTCCTCTAAGTGTGCCCAGGAAGGCGAGGAGTTCTGTCTGGCATGCTGCCCTCCTGCCCTTCCCTCTCACCCCTCGCCCCCAGGTAGCGTATGTCTAAAGGCTCTGCTAGGGATTTTCTGGACAGCACAAGTTGTCAGTATATACCCATGGCATAATTAGATGTATTTGCCCTATTTTCCTAGGGCTGCTGGCTTTATAAATTTATATGTAAATAATACACACACAAATTTAATGTTCAGTTTATTAGTGTGAAAGCAGTGTCATTAGTATCTCGTATGTGCATGTCTGTGTGTGTAATTGGAAACAGATGGGGCATACTGAAATCTTGGAATGGCAGTTGTTAGTGTACAAGGTTTTCCACAGTATAATCAAATTTTGAGGTTTGTGTTTAGGTTGTAGGTAACTTTCTGCTTGCCAGTGTTGATCTGCTAGTTTGCTCCTGTCCCTTTCTTAGCCATAAGCTTCCTATGCTTTTAGCTTGTATTGTAACTAGTGAAGAAAGCTGCTAGTAGAAAGTACACATTTACACGCTTTTATATGTAGTTTTTGGTTCACAGAATCAAGGCAGTTTTAAGTATATATATATATATATATATATATATATATATTGTAGCTTAATGTTATTTATTCATCTTAATTTGCTTTTACATCTATAATTAAAACTTTAAAGTTACATTCTGATTCTGAGTATATTTTTAGAATGTCCATGTATAGTTTGTTGAGGACATCTGAGCACGCATATTTCCATGTGTAAGGAGAGGCTAAAGGTCCATAGAAAGCACAACACTGTTCACGTGTGTGTCTCCACTTGTAGAAAGCACAAACCTAATAGCATTCTCACTAACCCACAAGTGCAAGTCATAAGCCCACCAAGCTGCGCCCCAGGGTTGTCAGGACGACCACAGTACCGAAAGGCTGGACGGGAGACTGCTGTCCAGCTGGTCCTGAGAGATGAGTCTTGTGTTCCCCTGCTTGTGCTGCTCTGATGGGGAGACTTCTCAGCTGCTTATATCTGGGGGTTTTAGGGGAATGAGATCTGTGGACACAGACCCACAGTCTGAAACTCAACTGGGACAGTGGGATTTCTGGGGGGCAGGCAGGTGACAGCTTTGTAAGTCGTAGTCATTGGAATGCTAAAATGTTGTCTAGAAGAAGTGTTACTAAATTCACACTCAGTAGTGCAGATACTATATTGATCTTGCATAAGTTTGCATGAGGTGGCGTTAGCTTTGTGTTCTTTATGTGCTTAGCTGTACTTTTTAGTAGAGAGTTGGATCTCTGTGTTCCGAACATCAAACTATTTCTGGACAGACTCTATATGACATTGCTTTTCCTAATAGTACTGAGAATTTTCTAATGTGTTCTGTTAGCTCCTCAAGACTAGACGAGTGGAAAGCTGTGGGTGTGCATGCAGAAATAAAGATGTATTTCCTCCCACTCAGCATTGCCCTTTCCCCTGGTTTGCTTTACCTCCAGATAGTCCCCTGGTTACCTAGGATGAAAATGAGCCGTCTAAGTTATGGCTACATCTTCAGATAGAGCTCTCAGAGGAAAGAGCGCCTCCTCTGTTTAGGTATTTTTCTTCCTAGGGAAACTGTATAACAAAGACTGTAGATGACATAGACTAATGTGGTCTATCTTAGGAGAGTTCCCATGACCTGGGATGGTGGGGTTTCTCCCGTGTGCACCTACAGTGGCATTTCACAACAGGTAACCTGGAGGTGCAGGGAGGGTGCTGGTAGGGGTGGGGGTGGGGGCTGAGGGAGAGGCTGTGAGGAATGTCCTGACTAGCAATATGTGACTATGTAGAGCAGTTAACTTTTGACCTCTGTATTCTGTACCTTTAAGAGAGTTTAATACAACTTTTTGAAATGCTTTTTAAAATTTCTTTGACACAAATGATTTTCATTTATAATTTCATGGAAAGAAAAGTAGTCATGGTGTAAATATGTATAATTTCCTGATTTCACTGTGAGAACTCAGACTGTTGAGTGGCAAACAGATCACCAAGTCTTTTGCTCATGGACTCTTCTGTGGGGGTTATTAAGATGTAAAAGCTTTATTATTGTTATTATTATTTTAAATAGTGGCATACTGCATTAGTGTCTGAGGACGGTATGGAGCTGTTCCTCTGCCACCCTTGCCATTCTTGCTTCAGCCTGTGAGCACCTGCCAAGTTGAGACCCAGCAGGGGCTTGTCTGTCCCTGTGTGGACACTGCTCTTTGTCTGGACCTGTTGGTAATCACCATATGAACTGGTTGGCTTTTCTGCTTCGCTTTTCTTTTTTGACAAAATGGGTATCAAAAATAGTTGCTGTGCAAAAGTTAGTAGTCTTCTTCCAGAAGAGCAATTCTTTTTCTAATAATAATCCTGTGAAATTGCTTCATTCATTCCTTTATTTCTAAGCCAAATGCCAGCGGAACACTGCTGCTTTTATCTAAAGAATTTTGATATGTAAGTATTAATGCATTTTAAAGATATCTGCTTTGAGAAATGTTTTCCCGTGTACTGCCTGGAAGCTTTGTCTTCACTCTGGGCTCAGAGACCCGTCAGTACACTGGGCCGTGTATTATGTGCGTGGATCATTTCATCTGGTATTGTAGACCAAATATGGCTATAATGGGATTTGTGAACATTAATTTGTTATTGGTTAGCTTTTAATTATTTCCAGTTTACTCTCTCTTGTCCTCAGCCTCTTTTGTTTTCAAGTTTGACTAATACGGTCCGTTTCATTGTGTAAGGCTTTAGTTTCAGAGAAATCAGAATTTTCTTCCATTTTGAAAAGAAAACCGTTAAACTGTAAATTTAAAGCTGTTAGCTACTTGTGGCAGTTCTAACTTGCCTATACTGTGTACAACTGATTTTTACAATTGTAGACTTGTATGATCTTGGTTTACTGTGTTGTGTTACTGTTGTTTAAATGGCAAAAAAAAAAAAAATAAAATAAAGCCAATCTGCTAAAGAGCCGTCAGTCTTTGTTGCTGACTGCAAGCTCTGTTCTTTGTGTACTCGTGTTATTTTGCCAGCTGCTGCATTAGCCTTCAGAAGTATTTGAAAACTTAAGATGAATACATTCCTTGCAAAGTCCGTTCCTTTCTGTGGTATTTTGTCCGGTAGCTGAAGTGTAGTAATTATTTTATGAAGATGTTAGCACTTCTGTACAAACTTTGAATAAAATGAAAACTTTACTCTTCTGTGACTCTTTCAGTGTGAACGTTTGTCCCCAGATTCAGTGTCTCACTCCACCCGAGGCCCTGCCGACTTGGTTCTTGCGTGCTTTCTGAATGCCTCCATGCTAGGATTGGTACCACTTTAGCTGTTGTGTGTCAACACCGACCCATGGGTGCTTATATGTAAAACACGGAATAAATAAGAATGTTCGTGGGTTTTTCCTAATGGTTTCAAAATCACTTCAGGTTACAGGGAAGTTGCCCTAAGACAAGGGCGTGTAGGAATTGTCTTCACCCCGGGTGACCAGAGTTCACACTGCCATGTTTGCTTTGCAGATGCGTCTTCATCTTCCCGAGAGAGACGTTTGCCCACATTACTCCCTTTAGAGTTCTTGGGCGCATTCTTAAGGCAAGGGCAGCAGTCCAGGAAGTAACAGTCTAGGAAGTAACAGTGAGTGTTTAGTCCAGAGACCTCAGATGTTGCTGGTTAGCAACCTTAACGAGAAGTCATTTAGAGCTTTGTGCCTCTTGTTTCCCTTGATCTGGGACAGATCCTTGTCCCCAGCCCTGTGTTTGAGGTCTGTGGTGCCGTGAATGCCCCACAACTTGGGATCATAGTTTCCTCATGATCAGAACAAGACTGCATTGGGTCAGGAGCACACCATAGCGAAGGTAGTGTGTCTCAGCACGCAGGTCTGTGCCTGGTTGTCCACAGCATGGGGCAGGAGCACCATAGTGAGGGTAGTGTGTCTCAGCACCTAGATTAGTGCCCAGTTGTCCACAGCATGGGGCAGGAGCACCATAGTGAGGGTAGTGTGTCTCAGCACAAAGATAAGTGCCAAGTTGTCCACAGCATGGGGCAGGAGCACCATAGTGAGGGTAGTGTGTCTCAGCACTCAGGTCACTGCCCTGTCGTGTTGTCCCATTGTGGGCGCTTAGTCACGGTGCTGCCCAGCAACTCCACTGCCGAGCTGTGTTCCCTGAAGATAGTAAGTAGTTTTGGGAGGTAGTCTGAGGCTCCGAGAGCACTGACTGGTCTCTGTCAAACTGGACCCCTCGTTTGAGCATCCACTTGGAAACTTTGCTTGAGTTGTAGCTGGCAGCACAGAATGGCTTGTCAGTATGGAAGATTAATTAGTTATGCAGTAAGTCATAGGCCACTACTGATAGTGTTTTGTTTATGTGTGTCCAGATTTAGCGAATGGTACCATCATAGAAGTTTTTGTCTTCTTTTTGACATGGTTCCATCAGTGTTTGGAGAACCTCTTTTTAGTATAACAGAACTTTCTTGGCTCATCTTTCTCTATCCTAGTTGGGTCAAGCCTCTGGCAGGAAGTGGTCAAAGTGTGCTCATGCTGAGAGAACTGCACCATTTTACCCTTTGATATATAGGGCATTGTCTGCTGCCTCCAGTTCTTTTTAATTTATCTATTTGGTGTGTGTGGGCACATGCCTGTGGAAGCCTGGCCTTGACATTGGCTGTGCCCCTCAGTTGTTGGTGTGTGTGCGCACATGCCTGTGGAAGCCTGGCCTTGACATTGGCTGTGCCCCTCAGTTGTCTACGAGGCCGAGTCCCTCCTGAGCTGTGCTTACTAGCTGTAGTTGGCTTGTCCAGGATCCCCGTCCCTGCTGGTTCAGTGCTGGCTTTGCAGGTGGTCACAACGTCTGCCCAGCTTTTACATGTGTTCCGGGAATCGGAACTCGAAAAGTTGATAATACTGAGTAACTTGTCACATTTACTCTCAACTCTGTAGAATTAAACGGCTTTCTATTTGCTTCTTTAGTGTTTTGCTGAATATAGAATTGTAAGTTGGGAAACTTTCAGAACACTGGAAACTAGAAAAATAGTGGAAATTTGGAAGCCTAATAAGATTTTTTTTTCTAGCTTGTATGTTTCATGTTATAAAACTTCATAATTAGAAGTTTTGCTGGAAGTTGCTGGCCCCAGGTAGGCTCTTCGAGTGTGGCAGCACAGTCCTGGGGTATGTGTGTGTGTGTGTGTATCTTTGTTTAGCCCTTGGAATGCTACATTTAATTTCCTCAGTCTTTTTAGGTCTTTGCCTCTTTCTCATAGGAATTTCTAAACTGTATCTTCTAGCTTTTTAGTGAACAAATTTAAGCAGCCTCTGTCTGCTTTTCGTTTTAAGAGCTCCCTGTGCCTGAGTCCTGTGCCATCTGTCCTTGTTTCCTGCCTGTGGCTTCTTGTCGGCTGAGCACTGGCACTCTTGCCCCTGTGTCACTTCCAGACAGCTTCTCTCTGCCCGTGCTGGTCTTTCTCAGTGTGCACAGGTCTCAGGCTGTCCTGCTGTGTGATACGGTGAACAGTAGCAAAGGCGGTGCTGTCTGCCTGGCTTTGCCAGCTTCATAAACTGAAAGCTGTGGCTGGAGACGAAGCTCTGGGTAAAACGCTTCCCTAGTGTGAGGCCCTGAGCTCCGCCCTCAGAGCACAGGGTTTCAGAATTCACTACCTGCTGTTTTCATCTTGTTGGTATGACAGTCCTGCTCAGCACAGTGCTTGTGCCTCCTGCCCATAGGCCACCCTCTGATGGAGCCCCCCAGAGACTCCTGCATATGCATCTTGGGATCTACCAACACCATGCCTTCCTCTCTCACTTGTCCCTCAGTTCCAGAGGCCCAGGGCTGAGGTCTTTGTGTACGACTGATCTTCCCTGATGTAGGTTTCCTGCCTCCTCCCTCTGCCTGTCTCTTTCCTACCCCTGCCCCCAGGGCTTTCCCTTAGTAGAATGTGTATCAGTGTATCCTGTTGTATACTGTGTGTGTGTGTGTGTGTGTGGTCATGCATGCTGCAATAAAGCCAGGTGTCTTGGTGAGTTCAGCCTTTGAAGCTGAAGTCTCTGGAAGAATGCTGACCATTAAAAGCAAAGCTGGGGTGTACAAGTCTGTTTGTCTTCTAGAGTACCCAACTGTGAAGACTGATGTCTCTTACCCAGCCAAGCCTTTTACTGTGCTGCTTGACATGCACAGTACACAGAGCCACACAACGCCACACAGATGGGGTGTGGTGAGCATCAGTTTTCACTGGATTCTATGCATTTCTTTTTGACATTGATTTGACAAATACAAATTACCCCGGTCAAGTTCCTGTGAACCCATTTTTGTCAACTGATAATCTTTATTTTATCTGTGTCTGCTTAAGATGCCACATTTAGTAAATGGTGGGTGTGTTACACTCATCTCGAGTCCAGCAGCACCACAGCTCACACCCACATGCGTGTGATGTGCATCTAACGTTTTTCTAAAGGCCCATCACTGCCTGCACGCTAAGTAGTACTTCATTATTACACTTAGGGTGTTGTTGTTACCATTTTGTTTTGATTTTTTAAACAGTAATATCAGCAATGAAATCATACACATTCAAAAAGTAAACAACAAAGCCCTCCTACATCAGCACGGCACCATCTCCTGGTTCACGTAGTAAGAGCGTTTATTTCTCTGACTTACATATCCATCAGATGTGCTGAACACCCACTGTGCCAGCTCCTGCTCCTCTCCAGGGATGTGAGCTAAGGTTTAGTTCAGGAAGAGACACTCCCTCATGGCTATACTAGTAGAATGCTCATGGGGTCACCAAGGAAAGGTACTCTTCTAGCTTCGGAAGTAGCTGAATCCCAGTGGCCAACTTTATCATGTAATTCTGGTATTTTTATGTCCTTGTGTCTGTCTGCCCTGCTTTCTGTGCTGGAAAAAATACTCTAAGTACCTTCCTTCCATCCCCTAACTTTAGCACCTCTGCCTTGGCCTAGTTGATGGTGCTGTAGTCTGCTGCTCAGCCAGACATGTAGATCTGCGTCCTTTAACCGTGCCTGCTTCTCATTCTAATAATGGATTGTTTAAAAGGTAAAGAACACTTCTCTCAATACAGTCTTCTCATTAGTATTTCCCTAAACATGGCCTTGGCATTTGGAAGATTCACAGGACCTAACTAGGATTTCCCTATCAATCTTTTGTCTTTGCTGTCAAAATCCTTTGTTGATTCAAACCTCCCAAGGCATCCCTGACACTCAGTGCTGTCCTCTGTGTGAAGATATTGAAGTAGGTGGTGAATACAGGGACTAGATGGTGCAGAGGCAGCAATCAGCAAGACAGCCTTGGTGATCTCTACCTGACCCCTGCTCTCCCCGTCCATTTCATGAGCTGCGGCTTTTCATTTACTTGCTGTCATAGTAACCAGGACTCCTGCCTGTCTTGCTGTCTCCCATCCTTTATTCATCTGGAAAGGGGTGGGAAGAGATAAATGGACCTGGCTAGAGGATCCTGGCTTTGGGAATGTTCTCAGAATAGTAAACATGGACATCTGAGTTTTGGTTTTGTTTCCTGATGAAGTAGGAACCCCAAGTAGCTGCCTGCTGGGACTGCTTTCTCCACTTTGCTTTTAGAGAGGACTGTAGTATCACCACGAGAAAGATTATTACTGCCTTAAAGGCCTTAGAAAAGGTCTCTGTGTCCATATGAGGCCATTCGGACCCCCCCCCCCCAAAAAAAAATCTATGTTCTCCCTTATGCAGATCCCAGTCTGTGATGTATACATGTGCATACATGCATATACATAAACAGCGGTATGTGTGGGCACAGTATAGTGTAGAAAGGAGACCAGGGGACTGTAGGTACAGGTTAACATGTAGGAAGGTAACCAAGAGGTAGCAGGTGCTAAGGAAGGACAGAACACAGGTAAAAAGTCTTGAGTCGTGATAGAGACTATAAAGCTAATTGTTTTTCTAGTTTAAATTATTAATGGTTTTATCATTGTGTGGTGGATAAGCGGACAAAGGCGTATGTGCATACTTACACACACACACACACACACACACACACACACACAGGATAATAAGAAGAGGAAGGCTTAGAACCTTGTTTACGTGCTGAGGAGCGAGGTTCACAGAATACTGCCGATCTCACCTTTGCACCTGGAGAGAGCCGAGCATTTCAGGGCTAAGACTTTTGTTCTCAAAGTCAGTTGAGGTTTGAATTGACACATGTGGTAGAGATAGAAGCGTCTTCTTTCT